TGTGTAATGAAATGTCAGCACTTGCAATATAATAAGCAATCACGTTAAAAATATTTAGTATGAGACAAACAAATCACGAAAGAGTTACATATTATGGATGTTGTATGCAAACGTTAGATACATTATCCTAAATGACACATATCTATATAGCAGACAGTTAAATACATGGAAAAAAGATATTATTTATTGTAAAGATATCAATAATATATAACTTACAACTGTATCAACTTCTTTACAAGCAATATTTCATAAGACTATCCAAAAGGTGTTGTGTGTATATATATATTTGTAATACCTATGGCAAATGTGTCGATTGAAGACCAATCTATTTTAAGTCAAATATAATTGTAAGTCAAATGTTATCGTTCTCGTCAACAATTTACACTTGTTTTTGAGGCTGTTTTAAAACGTAAACCCTAAAATATAGATAACGGAATCAATATAGTCAAGGATTATCACATGGTTAATGAGTTTTTACAACATTATGAGTTATTTGCTCAGGTTTAATCTAACCTTACTTTTTCTACCTAGATAGTATTTAAAAACGAAACATTGGTTAATTAGTAAAAGAAAATATCCGGCTATACAGGAAACAATGTATTCTGTAGTTAACAAAACGAAAACTGAATAAATTTAAGGAAAAAAGCCCCATACCATTTGAAGAAAATCTCTTTTTTCAGGAATAGCCTCGTTTTGAGAAAAAAATATCGGACAATTGTAATTAAGAAAACTTAAGAAACACTTAATATTATCATTTCAGATAAAAGTAGATTTTGTCGTCTCTTCATGTAAATGTTGATGTTTACAATATTACCCTTTGCAGAAATGATACATTATTTTAAAATATGGTGGGAGAACAAAACAATATTATGTTTGAGATAAATTGTCACAGAGATTTTACACTTCCCCTGAAGATATAACTAAAACCCCATATATTTCAAATGCATTGTTTTCTCTACTCAGCTCAGCTGGCGGATAAGCTTACTGAGACTTCATTCAACAATAAGATGTCCTTTACTTTTGTTTATTATTCGATGTCTTATTTAGCTAGTTTAATTTCTTCAAATAGGTGATCAGCTGGTAGATAAGCTTACTGTAACTTCATTCAACAATAAGATGTCCTTTACTTTTGTTTATTATTCGATGTCTTATTTAGCTTGTTTATATTCTTCGGATATGTAATCATCAGGCTTCGTTTTAATATTATAATGATGTTTAAATTATATCATGGACACGTTTTATCTATTTTGTTCATTGCGTGATTCATGATCTAGTTAAATTAGAGATTGTTGTTGATTATGAATGAACCATGCATCATTATTCCATTTTGGTCAGATATTCAAATATTCCGATACATTACGATACAATTTGAAAACAAGACAATACATGAGAACGCTTTAGCTTTTTATATTCTGTGAAATATCTAATGGTATCAATACTGTATAATTAGCAATTCTATGAAAACAGGGATTGCCGTATTTGATATATTGACTGTTCGGCTACTTGCGTCACTGTTACGTGTCAACATTGACAGTTAAAGCATATCATTCAGTGTAAATCATACTAGACAGAAAGTATTGAAGTAAACATTGTAATTATGTTTTGTTTTCAAGATTGATTTTTAAGAGTAAAATTCAATTATATTGAAAGGGAACCAAGTAAAAAATTTAGAGGAATCTTGGAAGGCAAGGTATCACAATGTCTTATTTTGTGGCTTGCAGCTTAAACATTGACATTTCTTATTACACCAAAACATAATAAATGCATGTAGAGTTTGTAACGGCACTTACATTTTATTCCGATAATTAATCTACATTCGGATTCGTCATAGTTTGTTTATTTAGACGCTTGTTTTAAATGTAGATTACTTTTTCTTACGTCAGTACAGTGCGGTGTAATTAGAGAAGATTTTCATCCCATTAACGATAGCAACGGACAGAATCAGGTATCACGGTAATTACATGTTTCTATAAATTCTCCATAATGACATGAGCTGTAAAAGGATACATTCCTCTGGGTATTTTTGTACTTGTCGTCTAATGACCATTTACAATATCTATAAGTACATTAGCTATACATTTAAAGATTTGAATTAAGTTGTCCTTACATTTCATTTAAGTGACACAATTTCAGGTCCTTGATAGAACTAATTCTGACATAATATTTTTGAAGAAAAAAAGTTTACATAAATGTATTGCAGAAAATAATTGAAACAACCTCATGAAAGCCGGAAATGGGCAGAATTGAAGTATTGATAACACATTGATTTTTTCAAGTAATGCAAGCTAATTATAAATACATCATATATTGCATTGTAAGAAAATATATGCTAATTTAATTAATTACTTTTGCCAAAATGTTGTAATTGAATTGCATTATTTGGCATTACTTTGTTTTATTCAATATGATTTATTTATTGAATATGGCAATTTAAACTGATATAATTTTTGCTCTTTCTTGATTAATATCATGGATTATTTCGTAATAGCTGCTCGGTTAATGCTTTTTTGTTTTACTATGTTTGTTTAGTACGCAGGAAAAGTGAAGATTTGAACTGATATTATTCCTCTATCCACTTACTTTGTTCCATGGTTAATTTTATAATGACGCACTTTTTTGCATTTACTATGGGGGCCTTTCTCTCCCCCCCCCCCCCCACACACACAAAAACAAAAAAAAACCCAACTGAAAAAACGATCTGGATATATTTATCAATGCAACATTGCAAAAAAAAGAAAAAGGGAAAGCAAAAAAAAAAAAAGAAAAAAAAAGACAAAGAGCGAAAATTTTTTAAATTAAAGGAAAAAAAAAACGAAAATAAATAAAAAATTTTTTTTTTAAAAAGAAAAATCGTTTAAAAAATTTTAAATTTTTTTTTTTATACAAACTTTAACAACAATTAAGTTACTTTTTTTTTTAAAGATGAATAAAACTCTTTTAAAAAAAAATTTTTTTAAAAAAAACCCCTTTTTTAAAAAATTTTTAATTTTTAGGGGAATTTCGCCCCCCCAAAATTTAAAATCTTTTTTTAAAGCTTTTTTAAATTTTCCCCCCTTTTTAAAAATTTTTTCTTATAAATTCTTTTTTTAAATTTTAAAAAGGGGCCCTTTTTTTTGCTTCCATGGGCGATTTTTCCCCCCCGGGAAAAAAAGGCTTCGATTTTTTAAAACCCCCCAAAAATTAAAAGTTTTAATTCAAGCGGAAATACTTTTTTATTTTGAAAATTTTTGTTTCCAAAAATACCTTTTCTACCCTTGGAATTAAGATCCCTAATTTTACTTACTAGAAAAAATTTTTCAAATAAACGTGTTTTGCCACAAAGAATGGAGACTTTATTAAAGAAAGTTGTATGATTTGAATTCCCTCAGGGAAAAATTTTAAACCTGCTATTTGAAATAATAAGAAATACTTTTTTTAACTTACTGACATTTATTTTTCAATTCAGTCTTCTCTTTAAATGTTTCTTTTTGTAAGAAAAGGCTGATAAGGCACAGTTAGGTAAAAATCATCCACTTGCGGTGGAGCGGTTGTCTTTGCGGGTTGTGGCATCGGAAAAGCATGCGTGATTGTAAGGGGCGAATAAATGGGTTCGAGTTATCGGAGTATATTCATCCCTTAGCTCCAGAGCCGAGGTGATTTGGACGACTGGTGTTACAAAAACAACAACTTAAAGAGAGCATGTAATATGCTTACATATGCCATTAGGCCATGCTGTTATAAGCAGTTGTTTTTATCACTGTGTCGAATATCAGATTTTTTTTTCATTTTTTGTCATTGTACATGCACTGTCGGTTTCTGACCAATCAAATACTAAAATCCGAGTTTTAAGAAAATGCCCCACCTTCGAAAAGACTTTTAACTTTCTTTTCAATCTGTGTAACAAGGCACATTTTAAAAACCTGCTCTTTCTCGGTTGAAACAAAATTATATTGCATAAACAATCTCTATCAATATCCCATTTTTTATTGAACGAGGGACTAATTATATTTTTTTCAGGAATATTTGTTTTGATATGTAGGCTGCAATCAAATTGTACAAATATATCTCCTCGTCTAAAAATATAAGAATTTAAGTTACGCATGGAAAAGTTCTTTTATTTTTTAATTACGGACATATCATAAAGCGAATATCAGCCCAATGGTTTACATCTGGTTACATCAATCCTTAATCGTATCTTATATTGTATCCCTATAAATGTAATCCGTTATTATTTCCCCAGAATTTCTGTATCGTAGCAGGATCTTTTTAAACTGATTCGCACATTAACATAAATGATAAAATGCGCAAAATCATGAAATATGATTGGATTTTTATATTTACCAGTAGGTTGAACACTCTGTATTACATACAAATAAGTTAATCCAGTCAAATCAGTCAAACAAGTAAATTCATTATATTAATCACTCCAGACAAACTAGTCAATTAATTCAAAAAGTTAAATCAAGCAAACCAGTCATAATATTCAACGCAGTCAAACCAGTCAATCTGAAGATCCTAGTCACACTAAGATGTACTCAAGCTTTAAAGGAACTCCATTGAGGTCCAATAGCCTTGAAAATAAATTTTGAAATTCTTTCTTAAATCAACGGGTAAATTTAAATATGAAACCAAGCAATAGGTGATATATATATATATATATATATATTATATATATATATATATATATATATATATATATATATATATATATATATATATATATATTCAGTTTTAAATTGATTATCGATTTCTATGTGATTTTTGACCGATTTTAGTGAAAGAGTGTTTAAACGGTTTTTATTTATTGGGCCATTTTCACAATAAAATTGATAATTTCTGGGAAAAATGATTTGAAATTGTGTACATGATTTATTGGTCTAGACATACATCTACTTATAAAAAAATCTTGAAAAAATATTTTCGGTCCCTTCACGCAAAAAAAAAAAACTAAATGGAGTCCCTTTAAATCTATCACGACATTTACAACTTTAATATGTAATAATTGCTGACATCAACAAAAATAAGTTATTGAACTTTATTATAACATCATCACAGTATCACATCTAAGGAGTTTAGGGCGTTGGGCATGCTCCGATAGATGCCATTTTTAATGTATGGTCCAAACATACAGCTTTCTTGAAGTCACAGTAGTCATCTGAAATGTAGATTTATTGATAATTAGTCCAGCGATTAAAGTATTATCAAATGAAGAAATAAAAAAGCAAAACGCAAATAAAAAGTAAAAAGAAAAAAAAATATACAATACACAGATATAAAAATATAAAAGTGGTGCACGAGAGCGCAAACACTTGATCCGACGTAATATTAGCGTGCCCTAATATTCATTATGTCACAAAAAAAGTCTAATCATGCCGTCAGAATAGTGTTATGTCACGCGCCTGTAAGTCTTTAAAAAACGGTTATAGCTCCAACCGTATAAAATAAACTGTTACTCCATAGCTCTTTATGGTGTTTCAGGCATACAGTTTAGTACACAAAGTGTAAATAATATGCATTTATGTAGTAATTATAAATTTAAATGTATGTACTAACACGTCACACCATTACTTGCACAAACGGCAATTGTCGGCATACGGTTCATAACAAATCCGATTCCAAAGTGACAATACACATTATCACAATTTTCGCTGGACACATTTCCGGCAACGGCTGCAAAAAATAATATGACTGATATTTGATCTGGGAAAAAGTAATATCTGCTTTCGTTGTTTTTTGACTATCATGTACCCCGTTAATCACAGTTTGATGACGAGTTTTATAATGTTTCAAACTAGGTTGTTAATTATCAAACACAAGGTCCGTTATTGCTAAGTTTTCGTTTTTGCTCGTAACCCTGCTGGATGCCTTGCCGACGGCCCTTGCTTGCTGTCAGTACTACTAAAGGTACCGTTTTTAATGCCACATTCTCTGCTTGTTTACATGATAGTTTCAATATCAATCCAATAAAAAACATTGATGAACAAAAATATTAAAAACTAAAGCAGCTAAAAAACTAACGATGAAAAATGACCGAAACGGTAAGTCAACCAAAACGAACAGTTGGATAATGGTTTCATGTTGAAAAACAAGTTACTTAAACTTTGTAGAATATTTTGTTTTAACAAAAATGTATAGAAGATAGTATTTCTTAAAAAAATAACAGTTTAAATGAACAAAATCAAATGTACATACCAAGAACCAAAGCTATACAAATCGCAAATGCCCTCATATCTGCTATTATAGTTGTGTTACTTTGCGAAGACTGAATACCATATAATAAGTGATCTATATGATATCTGGACTTAAATAGAGCTAAACAAAGAGTTAACCTAATTCCCATATCTTCTTATCATTTTTGGTCACACTTTTCCTGATAGGTGTGAATATGTCAAGACATGTATATATGTACAAGGTCGACACGATAAGGCCTTTTATTTTCACCCTATTTCCTGTAACTTGTAAAAACAATTTAGCGGACCAATTACTCTATACCATAATATTACTAATCATATATTAGAAAGAAATTAAGAAAACTAACATTTTCATTTTAATAGCAATTTTCACTTTTAGAAGCGTATGAATTAACAACCTCATTCATGATGGCAAAATGACGTCATCCTAAGAACGTGGTTCATTCTTTAAAGACACTTGGGAATGTCGTCATTTAAAGCTCGCGACGTGCCTTACATGGATGTTAGACAAGCTTTCTACCACCATGGTAAACAGTAGATAATTTTGTCTGATATAAATATTTGATAAACCAGTCAACAAAAATAACAAGAAAAGAACAATAGACATGACGCATTTAGTCAAACGTTTTGCAATGCTCAAAGGGTAACGGTAAAAATTCTGACGTAACGGTTGCCAAAACGATCTAAGAAACAAACACAAAAAACAACAAAAATAAAAAAGAAAAAAAAACACCAAAAAAACAACAAGAACCCAAAAACATTTAACAATTTATCATACGGGCCGAAATACTTCAATGACTGAACAATGCGCGTATAAAATATCGACACACAGCAGAAGACGACTAAGAGGATGAATCTATCTCTTAAAAATGCCATCATTTTCGTTAAAGAAAGGTAAGTTTATTTGTTAATTCATTGTAAATCGTTTACATGTGTTGTAACGGTATGTTACCGTGTGGCGCAGTTAATGGCTAAAGTTCCTAAGTACGAAATAACGACATAATGTTGTTCTTTCATCTGCTAATATCATGATAGAGGAATGTTATTTAACATGATGTTATAAACTGAAGTTTTGTAACGTTCAATAATTATTATAGTTCTTCGCATATCAATGATCACCACAATTGTGTCCGAACCATTTTAATATCTGCATACTGGTGTGAGCGCATGGATTTTATGCAACAGGTAAGTGAACGTCCATCTGAAAGACCAGAAATCACCAATCTTTGTTGAACACAACATCTTTATAACAGGAAATTCAAAAAATTGACAATAATTCAAACCAAAGCAGAAAATGAATTTCCCAATAAAAATGTTGAAAAATGAAATATTGTTTAGTCTTGGTTTGCAAAACCTAATTTGTAAACGATTCGGTTACATATAGTGGGGAAGACCTACCATCACATCGCAGTTATCAATGGTGATAATGTTTTAAATACTATTAATGCTTCTTCGAACCAAAATTTATTCATTAGTCTCGGTAAAGATGCTTCTTCTAATTTAACAACGATGTTGATTGGGAAATGATGTTTTACAATTTGGACGACTAGAAATGAAGCATTTTCGTTACACACACACACACACACACACGCACACGCACACGCACACACACACACACACACACACACACACACACACACACACACACATTGGTCAAATACATACATGTATCTCTTCTTATTCCCTTCTATTGATAGCATCAGAGTGTATTTATTATTTAACAATTAAACTTATAGTATTTAAACAACTGTTGTATACCGCTCTATCTAATAACAAGAGAGCCACGAGGGCCCTAGATCGCTCACCTGACCAATCAAACTCATCCAAACAATTACCTAGACAAGCATTCTGACCAAGTTTCATGACAGGTGAGTCAAAAATGTGACCACTTCAGTGTTAACAAGGATTGTCCATATTTGAGCAGTGTGACCTCGTTTTTGTCCCAGGTGACCCATATTCAAACTTGACCTAGAAATCATCAAAATAAACTTTCAGACCAATTTCCAGGATACTTGGATCAAAACAGTAGCAACTAGAGTGTTAACAAGACTTTTCTATTTTTAGCTCCGGTAACCTAATTTCACATGCGATTTCGAACTCATCCGAGCAATTACCTAGACAAGCATCCTGACCAAGTTTGATGATAATTGAGTCGAAAATGTGACCACTAGAATGTTAACAAGGTTTAATTCATGTTCAAACTCATCCGAGTTCTCAACTAGATAAGCATCCTAACCAAGTTTGATGATGATTGAGGCAAAAATGTGACCGATGGAGTGTTAACAAGGTTTTTCTATTTTTAGTTTTGGTGTCCTAGTTTTTCATCCCAGATGACCCATGTTCGAACTCATACCAGCTATCACCTAGACAAGCATCCTGACCAAGTTTGATGATGAGTGATGCAAAAATGTGACCGCTAGAGTGTTAACAAGGTTTGTCTATTTTTAGCTCTTGTGACCTAGTTTTTTCATCAGAGATGACCCATGATCAAACTCATCCGAGCTATCAACTAGATAAGCATCCTGACCAAGTTTGATGATGATTGAGGCAAAAATGTGACCGCTAGAGTGTTAGCAAGGTTTTTCTGTTTTTAGCTCCGGTGACCTACTTTTTCATCCGAGATAAGCCATATTCGAACTAATCCGAGCTATCACCTAGACAAGCATCCTGACCAAGTTTGATGACACTTGAGTCAAAAATGTGACCGCTAGAGTTTTAACAATGTTTTTCTATTTTTAGCTCCTATGACCTTGTTTTCCTCCGAGATGACCCATGTTCAAACTCATTCGAGCTATCAACTAGATAAGCATCCTGACCAAGTTTTATGATGATTGAGGCAAAAATGTGACCGCTATCTAAAGTGTTAAAAAGATTTTTTCTATTTTTAGCTCCTTTGACCTTGTTTTTCATCCGAGATGACCCATGTTCGAACTCATTTGAGCTATCAACTAGGTAAGCATCCTGACCAAGTTTGATGATGATTGCGGCAACAATGTGACCGCTAGCGTGTTAACAACGTTTTTCTATTTTTAGCTCTTGTGACTTAGTTTTTTCATCTGAGATGACCCATATTCGAACTCATTCGAGCTGTCAACTAGGTAAGCATCCTGACCAAGTTTGATGATGATTGAGGCAAAAATGTGACCGCTGGAGTGTTAACAAGGTTTTTCGATTTTTAGCTCCGGTGACCTAGTTTTTCATCCAAGATGACCCATGTTCGAACTCATTCGAGCTATCCTGACTAAGTTTGATGATGATTGAGGCAAAAGTGCGACCGCTAGAGAGTTAACAACTAAATGTGACGACGGACGACGGACGACGGACAATCATCGATCCTAACAGTTCATCCTGTGCATGCTCAGGTAAGCTATAAAGACGGAAAAAGTAATTACTTACTGTCCCATACGCAATTATAATAAACAGTGTTAAAGTGCTTAATTTTCAAGATTATCTTTCCAGGGAATATACTATAATATAATAAAGTTGGACTTATACAATTTTGGAAAGATGTTTCAGTTGATATATTGATGTTAACAAATACGCATTTATTCAAATGTGTATAAATTACATTAACAATAATAATATTAATAATAATAATAATAATAATAATGATGAAAAAAAAAAAAAAAAACACTTGGTCATGTGTTCTAACGGTCAAAGAAAATCCACTCAGAAAAAGGTTTTACTCATTCTTGTCTCTTGTATATTTTCTGCTGACTAGCTTTACAGACAATTACATCCGTCTTTATCAAACACCTTACAACCTATATAATATATACAAATAAAGTCCTCTTGACAATTTAACAATCAGTCAGTATAAAGCAGATTATTATTAAGTAATGTCACGTCTTCTGTAAGCTTCTAGCTCTGCACCGATTGAATCTTTACTAATCCTAGTGTAGCAAATAAATCCCCATAATAACAGTAATTATCAAAGACATCAGTTGGAAACTCAATATCCAGGAAGTTGATGTCTACTATTCTGTTACATTACAACAATTATAAGCTTTTTGCAAAAATGCTAGGAATCGCCATTCAGTCGGGTATTCGAACACTTTTGTTCGTGAAATAGTCTCCCGCCTGAACAACAGAGCTAATGTATTTTCTACAAAGAGGAATATTCTTAGTTATATTTCCACAGCAGAAGCCTACATTCTTGTTTCCAGCTTCGTACACACAAAAAATCCGTTTTTTTTTTCAATTTAATATAAAAGTAACGATAACATAAAAAAAATGGCGGACATCGTGCCTCGTGCCCAAAAGACCATTCCTTGTGAACTTTTGTAATAAATTTTTGATATCAGCTGATATTTTAAACATATTCTGATTGGCTTAACTTAGGTGGTGTACAGATAGAAATGGAAAATCTTGTAGCGTCCACGCAAGTTCTAATCAATCAAGTTTCTTTAAGGCCGTTTTGATAATTAATTGTCACTCATTAAAACCTTGAACACTAATAAACTATTACCTCCAGTAACCCGTCCAGGTATTTTTTTGTCCCTGTTAAAACATGTCTCAGATTTAATTCGGTTCCTCAAGATTTAATTCGGTTCAATCTTGTCAAAACAACATCACGTTAAAACAAAAGATATTTCATGAAGCCAAATAGTTTAAACACAATATGTTCTGTAAGGTCTCCTCCGGACAGAATCCTTATATGGGAAGAATGATATACAGCAATGTTGCTGTCAGCGATAATTAGTAAATAACACCCACATATTAAATGGCTACCTTTAAACGAACCATAAAGATATATTTATTTCCAATGTTTACTTAGGCATAATGATAGAAAATTCCTTTCTCTTTAGACTTTCAACAAGTTCGTCAATATTTCATTATATTATTTCGGGACATTTTCCAATAATACAATGCATGCTTTTATTTTTCAAATCTAAGAATTATAAATAATAATATGTCATTTTATTGGATTTAAGACTAATAATATGTGTTAAAAATATAATACTTTACAGTTACTATTGTAATAACATTTTACTTTCACTTTTGCCGTTTTCGTCGTTTCTAGGGTATTTCGTTTCTGTCTAGTATATAACTTGATGTAGTGTTAATTTTAAATGTTAGTAATGAAGAACAATAGTTTTAAAACTTCGTCAAGAAATTGCTGCGATTGCTATCCGCAAACGTATTTTTCTTACAATATAA